GATTCTCCTGCCAAAATAAAATCTAAGGATCCCTTGGGCCTGCTAAAGGCTTCTCTCTCTAATTCATGAAATTCTTCCCTGGATTTGGGGCATGATAGATTGTAATCACTCATTCAGAGAGCAGATGGCTCAGCCTACTGCTGAAAGTGAACTTTGCAATGAAGCATATAGTATCAGAGATGTTAAATTTCATTGTAAAGGTACCTTGCCATCAAGTATTATCAGGCACGTGAGTTCTAGTTACAATCCCTTTGTGACCTCAGATACATCACTACTCCCTCATTCTCTATTTCATTTCCTGCTCTGTAAAATGAGAGGGTTGGATTAGATGAGCTCTGTCCAGCGATAATATGGGTTCCTCCTTTTGTGGGGTTCACTATATGCTACAACCAAGTGTGATCCTAAGTGTCTTATTCAAATAAAGAAGTATTTTTTCTTTAGAAAAAGTCAAGTTAGAAATTCAAGAAATACTTGAAAAGACAAAAATAAAGGATTACGGTAGGGGAAAATAAACTCTAACTTTGTATAGAGAAGTCTAACCTCAAGCTAAAATGGATTTCTCTAAGTGTATTTATGCTTGGCTAGAATTCAAAGATTGGATGCACTGAATTACTAGCACTCTATACACTTGACTAAAAATATTTTTAAAAATAGCTCTTTAAAGGCCTTCAAATAAAATTTATGGAATTTTTGGTGAATAATAATTTCAATTTGAATAATGTACACGGGGAAATAATTTTAAAGGTAGAAATATGACTCATGAAAAAAGGCATTTTTATCACATTGGAAATAAACCAATTGCATTACTAACACTTAAGGTAAATTTATACTAAAATAAGCTGAATAGTCACAGAAATTTATTTTCCTTTCATTTTTTTCTAAATTTAAGATTCCATTAATAATAAATAATAACAGCCAGCAATTACCTAGTTCCAGGCACTTCAAAAAAACTACATATATTTAGCTGTTATGACCCACACGTGGTAGGTACTTTGATTAGCCCTCTTTTACAGAAATACAAACTGAGGTGCAAAGGGGTTAAATAACATTTTATATCATTCAGTCACTAAGTAACGCATTCAAGAGCCTGAACCTACAGTTTGGCTTTAAAGCCTAAATCTTTCTGCTTTTTTTTTAAAGCCCCAAACACCTTGTTGTGATATTTTATTTATTTAATGAATATTTATCATGAGTCAGGTACTCTCTGAGATGCTAGCAATACAAGAGTGAAAAAGAAAACATGGACAAAACTCCCATTAGACAAACAGATAAATAAGTAAAATATTGATATGACAGGTAGTGATAAGTGCTATGAAAAAAATTAAAGCAGGGTTGAGAAATCAAGAGGACAGGAGCAGGGTATTAAAAATATCAAATAGAGTTTGAATAATATCACCACCTAAATAAAGGCAAAAACACTTTTTGTAATACAGTGCTATGCATTAAAAATATAATGGTCATCAAACTCCCTTTGCTGTATCTGACCTTCTGCGGTTATGCCTTTTGCAAAAAAATACATATATATATTTATATATGTATTATATTTCTATATTTCATATATATTTTATGTATTTCATATATTATATATCTATGCTATTTGTGCCATTAAACACTTGTCCAGGTTCTTCACAGCAATTTAAATGCAGGGTAAAACCAGTCTTCAGGAATTTCATATTTGTAAATATCTGGATTACTATAAGTCCATGTCCTGTATTATTTAAAGACAAAAATAATTTGCCCCCCACATCTTTTTATTACTATATTAATATGTTCCCATCTTAAAACGTTAAAGATTTTGTAAGGAATCTTCCTTTGACCTCCCACCCTAAGGCCTTTCCTGAGGTGACTAAATTCTCCCGCCCATAATGTGCAATAGCTTTTTAAGGGAAGACAAAGGAAAAAGTGATGCAAGAGCTGTCCCTCCTCTTGCTCTCCTCTTGGGAGTAAATTGGGTTTACTCCCCTCCTGACTCTTCCAACTCCTCCTCTCAATGATCAGGAAAGTAAATGTACTTCGAATCTGAGTAGTATAAGAACCAGGAGTCTGCATTGTGACCAAGAGTGGGGCTGTCTTTGCTTAATCAACAAATTGAAGAAGCCAAATAATTGCTCTTTGTTTTTCATTGAGAAATTTGTCAAGAGGTGTAACCAGGAGCCCTTCTCTCTTGAGTGGCTGTCTCCACACACCTCAGTTTATCTTTCTCGGTTCCACCCACAACAGTGATGGCAAACACTTTCCAAAGTGAGCCTTTTTTACACCTAAAGGGAAAAGAATCTGTCCCCAATATCACACACAAGGGAAATCTCTTTCTACTATTAAGTGATCAATATGGAGAAGCTTATTTGAATGGGTACATGATGCTTATAAGTTGAAGATTGGTTTTGCTGCTTTGTCTTTACTGTTTTTGAAAAAGAGATCATAATAGGAAACATACATCTTTCAAACAACTTGTAAAAATTTCTGATTTTGTATTTATTAAAAGCTTTCCAAGGAAAAATTCTATGTAGCATCTGTAGTACTAGTTGGACATTCACCATGTTAATAATAGGGGTATCAGGGTGATTAAATTTTTATCATTTTTATAATTTTTTCTTACTAATATGCAATACTGTTTTAAACTGAAAAGAAAATGTTACACATGTTTAAAAATCATTATCACAGAAGACTTCAACTGCATTTTGCAATGTTTCGTTATATTTTCAAAATGAAGCAAAATGTCAGAATCTTCAGGCAAGATAAGATAGTTGATCTCTAATTTTCTATAGGTTCATGATATTTTACAATACATTTTTAATTTAATTTTCTCAGTGTTGTAGAACATATCGTATATGAAAATATTAAGGCCTCTCCCTTGAATACCCATTTAAAGGTAAGATTAATTTGGGTCCAAATAGGAATTCTAGAAATTAAAATTTTTTTCTATACAAAAATTAGCTGAGTGTGGTGGTGCATGCCTGTAGTCCCGCTATTGGGGAGGCTGAGGTGGGAGAATCTCTTGGACCCAGGAGGCGGAGTTTGCAGTGAGCCCAAATCCTACCACTGCACTTCAGTCTGGCTACAGAGTGAGAATCTGTCTCAAAAAAAAAAAAAAATTCCTTTGAGGAAAATCTACCAGATAAATTAGAACCTGAGTCAGCATCACTTTTTTCATTGATAAACGTGACACAGATAGTAATGAGTTTGCTTTAAAAAAAAAAAAAAAATCAGAAAAACCCATTTACTGACCTCCTAGTGTTACAAAGAGGAAAAGCTGGAGCATCCCTGGTGTTTTTTCCTGGCAGGAAAATGTTAGCATTTTAATATTTGGCAAGGTGAATGTTCTGTCTCTGAAAAAAACCCTTAAAGTCACCACCATTATACTTTCATTTGACATCATATTGAGTTCTTGTATCATTTTTGTTTTTTGGTGAATTGTTGCTTTTTTTTTCTCCGGCAGTGAAAACATTCCATGCATGTATGTTTAGGGTATCTTTCTGAAAACTTTGTTTTATTTTAGGAAATACTTTCTAGGGAATAAAAGGAGTGAAGACTATATATATTGGGGATCTAAAATCCAAAAATGTAACATGTTCATAATCAATAATATTTAACAGAGTATTTCTTTAATTTTTTTGCCTAATATCAATGTTTTCTTTGATTTATCACATCCATAAAAAGGGGTTCTCTACGTAGTTAATGAGTTTCATCAAGTGTCCATCAGCAGATGAATGGATAAAGAAAATGTGGTATATATACACACTATATTGATTTTTTTGTAGGGACTAGTCGTCTACTACTTGGTCTTAGTGTCAGCCATCCGTGTGTCAAGTAAAGACAGCCCTCGAAAGGCATTATTCCTAATGTATGGCACTCTCCTCTTGACATTTTAAAGCACTGCCCCAACATCCTCACTCTAGGGATCCTTAAGCCTAAAATAAATTTCCAAGAATTCCTCTCCAGGCCCTGAGGACTCTGAGAAGCCTTGGGAAGAAAAGACACCGCTAGTGAAAGGGATTGTAATTGATAAAAGCCGCAGTATGGGGCCTGAGAGATGAGGTGTTCCCAGGTTACAAAGGGCCAGGTTGCATATGACCACTATTAGGAAGGTGCCAACTTCTAGTCCTCTGCTGTTAAAATGTGACTGAAAGTATTTCTTTGTGGTATCTAAGCAGAAAGAACAGAAAGTGCTGGTGCATATGTTCTATGTGGGTTCAATTCAGACGTGAAGAACATTTAGTTTTGTTTATCAATATACACAGAGTGAAGCAAAGGAACCTACCCTTCACCTTCTGGTGGCCAGGCTATGCCCGTCGACACCCCCACTCCATCAGTCCTTAGGACTTATGCTTTAGGGGTGTCTCTGCAGGTGCCGCTGGTGGCGCTTCTGGGAACAGGCGCTAGGACCTTGGTTGTGGACACCGCAGCAAGGCAGGAGGCCACTGAAAGCAGCTGAGGGCTCCCCCAACCCCCGCCCCTAAGCAGCTCATTAACAGGTGGAATCGCATCGCTGGTTCCTGCCCCTCCTAGAAACAAATCCTTCAAACCCAGAGCACGAACTGGGCGGGGTACGGGGCCAGCCGTTCCAGGCGCCTTGCCAGGAGGTCAGACCCTCGGGGAGCCTGGGCGACTGTGGGGAGTGCAGGAGACAGCGCAGCATCTGCCGTTCCCCACTCCTTTGTGCACTCAGGCACACGGTCCCTGCTCTGCCTGCTCTCGGTCTGCCCTGAGCTCGGGTCAGGCTATAAAGCACGTCGATCATTTCGCCAAAAGCAAGTTCAGCCACAGCAGAGGGAAGGAGGCCGCGTGCGCCGGTCCCAGAGAGCCCGCATTCGTTTAGACGACTAATTCTGGAAGGAGTCACCAGCAGCTCCAGCCCTGACAGGGTGTTGTCAAGGGACTAGAAGACTTCGCTTGGGAGTCCTCAAACCCCTCTGGGCTGTTGTCTCTGCTCCCAGCTTCTGCTGCCCCTTCGGAAGGAACAAACACCACGCCCTGAGCCCCAGTCCCGCCTGGTGCGTTACCTGTTGGCTGCCAGTCGAGACGCGATGTAGCCTCCCGGAATCTGGGTGATGATGTAGCCCCAAAAGAAGGAACCGTGGATCATCCCCACGGTTTCCGGGTCCCAGTTGAATTTGGCTTTCTATGGAGGGGTAGGAGAAATAAGCGTGAAGGGAAAGAGTAGCGTCAGTGCCAAAGGCTCACTTTCAGAGGTTCACAAGCCAAAAAGCCCCCAACGCTTGGACGCTTCATGCATTCCGGGGATAAGAGTGGCTTCATTTTCGTTTCCTAACAAAATTGCCTCTTGCAACGAAAAAACCTTGCTCATTAACAAAATGTATTATGATTAATAGTGAGGCCGCGCGCACCGGCTTTGCTCCCCGACTGCTGTCAGGCAGATCGAATCATCTGAATGGAGGAATCTAGAGGGCCCGTCTTGGTAACTCGGACTCCCCATGAAGAGATTTGTTAGCCAGATGTGGAGACGCCTGGCAGGGGTCCACTTAACGAATCCGGTCAATGCGGACGCAGTAGTGTAGTGACTTCTAACCCTGGAGACTTAAATAGGGAAATTCTGGGGAAGGAAAGTGGGGAGGGAAAGAAGGTGGGGAGCGAAGGATGAAAGATGCAGGACTCCTGGTGGCTAAGAGAAAGGGTGTCCCCACAAATGGGAATGGATATGGGCCTGAAGGATTTGGAGTAGTCGGTGAATTGGGAGGAGTAAAGGGAGAGGGAGTCATTGCTCAAGGGTTTTAATAAATGCGGGGTAGGGGTATTTCTGAAGGTGGAGGTCTAATTCCGTTCTAATCAGCCTGGATGACTTCCCGAGGGGAACCTCAAAGTAAACTGGGTCGCAATATTTACGTCCGAAAGGTGGGAGCGCGCTTTTCCCGCCTGAGAACTGGGGACCCTTTTTCTCCTTTGATATTTTGACACCCAGCGGATTTTGCAAAGTCTCCCAGATTCCAAGAGCCTTCCCCAGTTTCTGCTCTCAACTCCTGCTTAGTCTGGTTTACGACAGTTGGGGTTTCTAAGAAGGAAGTCCGGACCCAGGGGTTCTGTGACCTTGACGTGACCCTCCCCTCTGGGCTCGACTCCCTGCCACCCTGGAACCCGCTTACGTTATGGCTCCTCCTGGGAGAGGTAAACCTTCCCAAAGACCCCTCAGCCGAACCTGCTGATATGAACACAGCTGAGTTTGTTTTCCAGTTTGTTTCATTTTGAATATTAAGAATGTTTTGGGGGGGACTGAATGAAGTCCTGGGAAAACTATAATTAATATGCTGCACTATTCACCCAAGTAAAACAAACACACTTCTATTTAGACTTAGTGGACATTGCTAGTCACCAACGTCTTGTATTAAGTCACAGTTCACAAAACCTGGTGAGCTAGACGCTCTTTTCTACTTTGCAGATGAGGAAGGGAAGGCCCAGACAGCAGAGCGAAAAGGGAACTGATAACACTACTGGGGTCTATTCTAGAACGGCAGAGTTAGCGAGGAGCTTAGGGAGCACCCAAACCTTCCTTTCAGTGGGGAAAAACGGAGCTCACACAGGAGATATGGTTTTGCGAGGCCGCATGGCCGAAGGGCGGGAGCCAGGGCGGCCAGACGTTGCCCACCTCCTTGATGACCTTGCCCCCGCGGTGGATGGTGCTGTTGTTGACCATGTCCACAATGGCCACGCCCAGGTTGCAGCGGATGCCGAAGGAGATGCAGAAGCCCAGGCCGCTCATGATGGCGATAATGTAGCGGCGCGGCAGGCCGAAGCATGTGCAGTCGCACAGCGGCGCCTTCCTTTCGGGCACCTCTAGGGGTTTCCCATCCTCCGTCAGCTCGATCGTCTCCCTGGTGTCTTGCTTCTTCTCCAGCACCCTGCGCGGCAGAGCAGGGGCGAGTCAAGGACGTGGCGGCTTAGGCACCCCCGATGCTGACCCATTCCCATTTTTCAGGACCCGTAGGGGCTGGGAGGAGGGCCGTCGACCTCACCCCACCCTCGGGGATTAGGGTGGTGGGGTGACACCAAGCTGCAAGACCTCCCACACTCTCTCACATTCTGCAGGTGCCCTTGGCCGCGGCGGCGACATCGCTTCAACTTTAGCACCTTTAGGCCTAAGGTAGCGAGTCCCTGTCTCGGGATCCACCCCTGGGCGCTCTGATTCAGATACACAGGCCGCTTGGGCCTAACTTTCTTGCAGAGTCTGCAAGGTCTGCATTTTGTGAGGGCAGGGGTTACCAGAGCGTCCTCTGCACCTGAATAGGGACCTCCCACTCCTACCCGCGCCCAGCAGAGCTTAACCCTGACAACCGCGGTGTACTCCTGCAACCCAGCACCAGAGGGCTACTCCGCTGCAGGCGGGCCCAACTTGAGAGCCTTTTCCACCCGCGCTGCCTTTTCCGTTTCTAGCAAGCTGAGGTTTTCCAGGTTGGCGATGCTGGTATTCTGTCCCCCAGCTCACCCCTGGAGCTGAGCCTGGGGCACCCCCGTGACTAAGGCCTCTCTAGGCCAGTGCTTGTGCGTGAGAAGAAGGCCTGAGAGCTCTCGCCGAGAGTGTCATGCACTCTCCTTCCCCTTCATCCCGCTCCAGGGTTCTAGTTCAACGCTTACGCCCCTGTTACACTTCTCACTATTTTTTTTTCCTTATTACTGGAGTTGGAGACAAAGGACTCTACAGCATATGGCCGACACCTAAGCTTCCTACTGCCAGAACATGAATAATTAATTATTCACAATCTTGCGTCATTACTCTCTCTCTTACAAACACCGAAAAATGTCAAGGATCCCTTTCCCAAGACGCAAAATGCGACTCCCAGATACACAAACGTGCTCCCAAATCAACTTTTGTAAGATATTCCACATCAAAGGGGAAGATCTCACTTCAATATTTGTTTTTGCATAGTGTTTCATGAGATTTCAACCATCAATTCATTTTTGGCTTTGGTCCTTGGGAGAAGGGGTAAATGAAAAGGGGAACGCGGAGAAAAGGAATGGTTTTACTAAAAGGTGGCAGTGTTCTAGTCTACAACATATTTATGAAATTTCTATTAACAACAAACAAACGAAAGGAATGTATAAGATAACATCTCCGTACGTAGCCCCTTGCGATTTATACTTTCGATATTTAAACAAAGAGCCTCTCCGTTTACAATTTGCAGAAATTTTTTCCAGTCTACCATGTAATTGTTTTTCACCTGTGCCGTTTTAAATGCTATGTGCACACCCAATTGTTTTCACACACACGGGTGAAGCAAGCGAAATTTTTACAATTAATTTCAAATATGCATAGCTTGGAATATTGCTGTCAAGCAGTTTGAGGCCACCAGAAAAAAATGTCAGGCTTCCAAATTCTATAAAAAGCACCTGGAGAATAGGTCATAAAGGTATTTGTGGCTAGGTTAATGTTTATTCTTAAAGTCTGATCATAATGTTAGAAAATATTGCAATTTATTTTTACTGGGAGAAAAAAATTCAGCCAGTGTGTGTGTGTGTGTGTGTGTGTGTGTGTGTGTGTGTGTGTGTGTGTGTTTTCTTTTCCTGTATTGGCTTCGTGTGCTCAAATCTACAAAGTTGAACTCTGCGCCGGATGGCAGTTGTACTGGGAAAGAACATCCCTTTCCATGGTAGCTGTGGGACTGCAGGGCCCTTGCGGTATCTACTGCCGCATAGGTGCATAATCGTGCCTACATGAAGCCCGCCAAACCTGAAGAGATTTGGAAAATTTGGGAGTGGTTTGATCATTTTCTTTACATTTCTCATGCATTTACAGAGACTTCAATTTCCCAAATATTAAAATTAGCGCTCCTTTGTAATTCTTTTTCCTTTTATGTCTGCTCTGTCTTCTTGATTTTGCTCTAATTATTAAGAAAAACTGTATCCATATCACATACTTGAAATGATTTAAAGTTTTGCAAATTACAGCATAATTAGTGTAGTGACTATCGGAGGATTCAATAATTAAATCATTTCTAGGACTTTCAAAGTAATGTTGCTTGTTATATTTATGGCTGTTCTTCCAGGCATTGACATTTCCTATGCAAGAAATAGACTCTAGGAGATGAAAATAATTAAAAATGCATATACATTGTTTCAGTCTTAGAGAAAGGAATTGCTTCAACTATCAATTATTGATATATTTTTATTCTTCTTCATTCAATACAGAAGACATATTCCACTAGGGGATTCTCTACTATGCTTTCAAAGCTGAGACCTCTCTCTTTCTCTCTCCCCAACATATATACACACACACACATATATATAGCATGTATACATATATAACATATATATTAATAATATATAAACTATTACTCTTTGGAATTTCTTGGTTAATTTTTTTAGAGGGTTGTGTTTTATATTCATTTGTCTGCATGAAAGGAATTTAATTTGGGGCATTCTATGAGCACCAAAAGAAACGCTGTTTGAGCAGGTGCTGGTTATTTCTTAACTGTAAAGGAGATAAATCCTGTGTAAAAAGGATAAAACTCTGCAGTCACCAAAGCAAAAATCAAACACACACACACACACACACACACACACACACCAGACAGGTTCATTTAGTGCAACATTCCTGCATTAATAAGCAGGTTTCCAGAGCACCCCTGCTCCAAGCAATGGGCAACAAAAAGACTTTCCGATCATATTACAATCTTTCTGAGCCACCAGGGTTTACGGAAACGGCCCTGCAGATTTTTTCATGCTGAGCCCCAGGTAAGCAACGGTTTCCTTTGTCTTACCTGTAGATCTGGCCGAGGGATTTTCCAGCAAAATTCTTTAGCCCCTCTTTTCCTGGGGCCAAAATCCTTTGTTTTACTGATTCCATTCTTGCAAAGACTGTTGTCGGTTCTTGCCAGATTTAAATAGTGATTGCTAAAAACGGCGAGGATTGCGCATGTTGTCTTAATCTCTTAAAGTAGTTGTTGGTTTTTCCTTCTCAGCAGAATGGTAGTGGCTTGCCTCCAGCAAGAGTGAGAGTGAGAGAAGGGAGGGAGAGTGAGAATGAGAATACAACAGAATAGCTGCATGCAACCCACGGGTTTCCTAATAGGAGAGTTGGTAGACACAATCAGAAAGTCTCATTGGAAGGGGAGGATCCGGTGGCAAAGGGCGCAAGCAGTACCATGGTATTTGGGTAGATGCGGTTGAGTCCTTGTCCTGGAAGTCGGTCAGCTGAAAAACAATGTAAATTCCCCGTTTTGAAGATTTACTGCTCTCAAATCTGCTGGTTTTTAAACGGAGGGGCCGGAATGTCACAGAACCCTTGGGTAACAACAAAGTCAAAAGAATAGTACTTTTAAAAATGGTGTCTTTGCCGTAAGGAACAGAGCATATTCAAAACTCATGGGAGCATCTCAGGTCTCAGGTGAGCAATGCTGCTATTAGTTTTTCCTCTCTGCCCATGATCTCCTCCCATCACGCCAGCGTAACTCTGCTCTGCGGTAGAGTCAAATTAAGATGGAGAAGGCTTGCTGCTCTTTGAGGACGTGAGTAAATAAAAGATACACCGTTCTGATTTGGGCAGCGTCAGGGAATATCTTTTTTCAGCGGCTGACAGCGCCCGTCTGGGCGGATCTCAGTACAATGGTTCAGCACCACGGACAGAGTAAGTTTCAGGAAAAGGGGATGCTTCTTTTGGCTAGCTAGGTTGCCAACTTTCTAGGGGAGCTGGGCGGATCGCCCTGACCAAGGACCATATTGGGGCTCTTCAGGAACGGATGCTATGGAAACCATGTGGGAAGATGTCATCATCTCCAGAGTTTGCAGGGAGAATGGTGCATTTAGCTCTGCTAGGGAAGACAACTTTATTAAAAATTGACAAGTTACTTCTAGTTTGCTACGTTTTGTCCAGCACGCTGATGCCAGTATTGCAGGCAAGAAAGATTTCAATATATTTAACTTATGCTTGTGGTGTTCCAAGACACCTAGGGTCCCTTGAATATAAAATATGTGCACACAAAATACACAATTATATTGTTCATGTGTTTGCTTTAACCTCTGACAGGAAAAAGATGAAAGAAAGAAAGGGAGAGAAGGAAGACTAGAGCAAGGGAGAAATAAATTAAAAAAGGTGGGAGGAGAAAAAAAGGAATAGCTATAAACTCGGTGAAGTTGATTAAATAAAAGAGAGTTAATTTAATATAAACTCCTTGGAATTTTAAGTATCTTTATTTAACTAATTTACAATGCACTACTGAAAACCAATATACTGATGAAATATGTGGCTATACCTTGTGCTTGCCAACAAATTGTAATTGATAATTTAAAGATTTATTAACAAAAAGATTTATTCTAATTTACATATATTACATTCAAATCATATTTTATTTTTCTTTGTATCTCCTTCCCCTAAAGCATAAGTTTTGAAAGACATTCATGTAAGACTTTTGGTTTTATGTATATAGGTACAGCATCAATGAATTTATCTCATTAAGCAAAGCAAGAAAACTGTGCTAGATTAATATAAATTATTAATCTCTTTCACATGAATCACAAACTTCTTGTGTACAACTCAGGCCAATGCTTACAAAACAGATTGGCCTTGAACCACATTTTCAAGGTCAAAACCTTGGATGTCATATAAGCCAACAGAGGGAGTCAATTTTACTCAAGATCCTGAGACAAAATCTCAAAAGTATGGATCTAAATTCAGATTCAAATAATAATATTACCTGAATAGTTCAAGTGATATAATGGCTATGTATTCACTGAATGGATAGCTGGAAAAAAAAATGTCAAAGTAGCTAAAACCATTTGCCATTATTAAGTTTGATAGTGTCAAATTATTTTCCATTGTGAAATATGATAAGGAAAAGGATAATGAAGACATTTCTATCTTTTTTGATAAATTTGTGTTAAAATACATATCTTCAATAAAACTTTGAATTTTCTCTAAAACCATGTGATCCCTCAGAATAATTTGAATTTTCTCTAAAACCATGTGATCCCTCAGAATAATATCTATTTCTCAAGATCAATTATAAAGGGACAAAAAAAAAAAATCCCTCACTAAACTACTACTTCCCTACAAAAAAAAAAAGGAAAAAGATTAAAAGATTCAAGCTACTCAGGACTTGACTTACCTAGGTGTTTTCAAAATATCTGTATTTTTCAAATCTTTAGTAACTAAGTTCATTAAATTATATTTATTTAGAGATATTAATGATTTTGGAATTCTGGGAAGTTATACCAAAAAATTAGAATTTACAACAAATATTTGTGAAGCTGGGGTGATGATATATAAATGATTTTCCTAAGCACTCCAGGCTAAGTTGCACCACAAATGACTAGAGATCTACCTAAACCATCAGTAAACATGATAGCTACATCTCCAATATACAAATATGAAGGAACACTAAGCAATATAAATCTAACACCAAAGCATTGTTTTTAGAGTAAAACAGTTATATTCACCTTGATTGAAATGAATGTCATCCTCCTCTCTCTTCCACTCTCTTGGTAATAGGATGAGCAACTGAATCAGAATAACTGGTAATATTGATTTATTCATTCTAAAAATATTCATTGAGTGTTAAGAATAATATTAGATCTGGGAATTCTCCCTGAAATATCTCACAAGCTACATGGGAGATAGACACATAAATACAATTTCAAATAATTATGAGTGAAATTACACAAGTTAAGTAACCCAGCCTGGGAGTGAAAATGTCCAGAATATATTTCAGGAGACAATGTTTTCTTGTCTGTCTTAATAGTTAAAATAAACGTAGTTCTATAAAGATGATGGCAGTCCAGTGGAGTTTGGCAGGCTGGAGTGGTGGTATTTGGATAACACCCCAGCCAGAGGGGATGTATTTAATGGTATTTCCATAAACTATGAAAAATGTTGTGTGTGGAGAATTACAAGAAATGTTACTAGACCACCTGAGAGTGAAGAATGTCATTTAGGCTGGCTTTAAACCCATAGCTGCACCCAATGTAAGAAACGTATATTCAGACACCATTTGCTAACCCAACAGATTTTCTTCATGGGTGGACACAAATTGCAATGCTGAACATGTGCTTTTGCAGCCCTAAATTCATCAGATTTATCTTAACGCAAAGAAACACTAGTAGTTATATGTAGGACATTAATTTAAGCATGTCAGAAAAAGACTTCCTCTCTCTGTCAAAATTTTTTAACTAAAATCCCCAATATTTTACATCCAATTTTAACAAGCCCTAAATTGCATTATTAGACCACTCTTCTTCTAGGGGAAGAATTGTCCCTCTTGTCAAGAACTGTGAACAATAAAAGGAGAAGTTTTCACTGAATATAATTAATGTAATGTGCGTACCATATTACAATTTATGAGTAGCTTTTATTTACATGATAAACTTATTTATTCTTTATAATTATTCCTTAAACTAAAACAGTTGTATTCCCATGTTATCAAGGAGGAAAGTGAGATTTAGTAATTACCTGAAGTCGCGTAACTGGTGATGAGAAAACAGCACAGGTTAGAGTAGTTTCTCATAGTTTAAGGTCTTGTTAAAATACAGATTCTGATTCAATAGGTCTAGAGTGGAGCCCAATATCCAGCAATTGTAACAAATTTCCACAACTGCTTGCCTAAGGATCACATTGTGAACATCAACATCATGGAGTATGAAATGTGAAATCAGTTTACCTGAGTTTGGGTCCTGGTTCTACTGATTATCATCTCTGCAATTTTGTATCAATCGTTGAACATTAATGAGCCAGTTTTCTTACTGGCACAAATGAAGGCTTGTATTGTGTGGTTTCTATTATCCTTTCTGCTTGTAAAATTTTATGCCTTTTCATGACTTTACCCATTGATATAAAACTTCTTTTCTTTTGTTGTTTCTCCCACCTTAAGTTTTTTTTTATTATATTTGAGATAAATGATTAATAATAAATGGAAAAAATACTAATATGTAGAAATGGGCTTCTTTCTGAAAGTTCTGTTTACATATTTAAAGAAGAGTTACCTTATTTGTTGTTTCACTATATGTATACATTGAGTATTATATGCAATTGTTTAAATAATTGCATTCATAGTATTTTTCAAGATGTACACAAGGTATTAACCAACAGCAATGTAATAGGTTTCTATTTGTTTATATCCCTGTGTGAGGAAATACTTTTGAGTAATTATTTAAATGTCTTGCAAATATTGCCCTCTGGTGGAAGGATATGTTAATATTTTAGAGAAAATTGTGGTCCTTAATTATGCAATTACACCTACTGTTTTCTCTCTTTCTTTCTTTCTTTCTTTCTTTCTTTCTTTCTTTCTTTCTTTCTTTTGATATTTGTTAAATTAAATCTGTCTGAAACTATAAAGTCTTCTTTGTGGACAACACATTTGCAATTGCCTTAGTACTAAATGTATTTAGAAATAAGTTGATTGTCTGAGAATCCCCCAGTTAACCAAAAAGCTAGTACTAAAGGAAACTTCACTGTATTAAGATTTAGTAATGCTATGACAATCACACAGGTAAAAATGATATACAATAGAATAAACTGTGATAATTTTATAAATATTTTGAAATAGTAACATAAATTTGATGTTTTGCTCCCTACTACCAAAAATACAAATATATCTTAAAGGCATTATACTTAAGGTCATCCAAAAACTATTTCTGGGGTATTTTTAAGGCAAATTGATTTAAAAAACATACCTCAAGTACATACCTCAAGGTGGTGGTATGCATCTGTAGTCCCAGTCACCGGGAACGCAGAGGCGGGAGGACTGCTGGAACTCAGAAGTTTGAAGTCAGTCAGGGAAATATAGCCAGACCCCACCTCAAAAAGAGAAAAACAAACCTTAAGGTGACTGATTCTGAGGCTATTTTTTAATGCAACAACTTCTCTTTATTATTTCAAAAAATATTCACTCAACAGGTATTTGTACTTACTGTAGGCTAGACCCTTTTCTGGGATATAGTAAACAAATGGACTCAATACATTTTTATAGCTTTTTATATTATATGTATAGAGTGGACATTCCTAAAGACAAAACTGCTGTGAAAAGCCTTTTTTACAGTATGGCTTTATTTGACTTTGAATTCCTAAGTAAATGTTCAGCCTAATAATTACACACTTCTTTCAGGTCAAAGCTATACAAATAAGCTCTAGAATTCATCTGTGACTTTTTCTTACCAAGGGTTTTTAAGCAGACAATGTTTAGTTCAGCTTTATTTGATTTTACTTTGCAGTGTTAGCCTCGGAGACAATTTCTAAGAAACTATCATTATATAATTTCCTTGGAACTGGAAATAGAAGAAATAATTCAGTTTGTCTTAAAAACCACACCTGTGCACATAGCCCAATACTTTACACTGCTATATTTAGTGGCCTGGTATAAAATATCTTTTGACTTCTCTGTGAACTGTCTGATTAAAAAACTGGAAGCAGGAAATATTAAATAAGCCTATATTGTTACCTTAAACATATGTTTTAATTACCAAAAACAATGTATGTAGTCATAAATGCAATGCTTCCTTTTTTGTGTGCATCTACTCTGTATTTATGATTTACTATGAGAAAAATGTAAACATCTTATTCAACCCCTTTTCTTTCTGCATTCATGGGAGAAAATAGCCTTAATTCACTAGAGGCCATTGTGTCTTGGGAAAATTAAGACTTTAAAGTGAATGGAGAACAAATGCTGCTCCTCTAATGCCAGAAAAGTATTTCTAATTATGAATTCCACACTATACACATAGAGTAACATGGTAAATTACAGAAGGACTTTGAAAACATTGACATCTTCAACTCTAAAACAACTCTAAAATTCTTAAAGTAAAAGTCTTAATTGTATAAGGAAAGTTTGATAA